TAATATTCAAAATACATTAACATAAAATTAACAGCAATTATTCATTGCACATATGAATTTAACAGTTAACTTAAAATTCTGTCATAAAGCTATTAAAAAATGTAAGAAAAAACTTAAACAATAAATTCAACATCTTTTTCTTGGCATTGAGAAATTTCGTCTTCTTGATTCTTGGTTTTTCTATAGCAGATTTATAAAAACTAAGAAACTCCATTTCTTTCCAATTATCTCCAAAATGATGCCGTAACAATTTTTCAACATCGCTAAGTTTTTCCGTCTTAACAACATTCCCGACTTCTTTTTGGTTCGGTTTAAGTTCTGCAAATCTTCTGCCTTTCCTTATTATACCTTTAAATTCAGTCAGATCTGATCTATACGATGCCTCACCTCTGATAACAACATTTTTTTTCTTGTGTGTATTTGCAGTTACTAAGAATAAATTTGTCTTGTTCTACTTTTTGTTTACATTTATAAAAACCATTTGAAAAATGAAGAGCATCTTTTGGCGTAATTTTATCACATTTGTAAACTTTAGCGCTGTGTTTGCATTTTCTAATTTCAGGAAGGAGTTTCCTAGTATACCTAATTTTTTTTTTTAAATTAGCTAACCACATAACATATTACATACAAAAATATTAAAAATTTACCTTAACACCTTTTGTTTTTGTCGTTTTGTGCTTCTTGGATTTCTCGAGCGTTTTCGTGAACAACCACCAACTGCAACTTCTTTAATACTGTTTGTGTTTTTATTATTTTCCATCATAAACTTTTTTAAATTTTAAAATAAATGTTACTTTAAAATAATAATTAAATATCAAGAGATAACCTTATTTAACTTTACATTTAACTTAATAATATTAATGAACTGTTCACTTCTCCAAATTTTTATGTACTGACGCATCTGGTTTTATTTTTTAAATTGTTTAACTTGCAAGTCTATACATGTTAAATTTCGCGCCAAAAACTTGATGAGAGAGAGAGAAAGTTTCAATAAATGCAATAGAAGAGTTTTGCGTCATAAATAGAGGAATAGGTACACTTTTGCAAATGAAAGCGGATTAGGCGAGTTTTGAATATAACTTGAACTAGGAACAGGCACACTTTTGGAAATTACCATGGTTTTTACGTTACAATTTCAAGGGTTTTGAATAACGTAAGAGAATCCATACTTAAAGAGAAATGAAGAGAATTTAATAACCTTTCAGAATCAATAGCTATCTCATTTTTTTTGAAAAATGGAATAGACACACTTTTGCATCTAGTCTCCACATTTACTTATATATCCATTAATTAGAATCATTGGCCAATGTATCATTTAAGTAGATTTTTATATCTAATAAAAATTAGTGTTTATACATGTATATAATATGTATTTTGTTATTTTTTAGTCAAATTTTATTATGCTGTTCTTGTGCACTATATCTTTGCTATATTCTAAATTTTATGTACTCTATGTACTACTCTTTTTTTTATTATTTTCTAAATTTTCTATTTTTACGTTTGAACCGATTATTTCTGTAATTATAAATGGTCCAATTTATTGTAGTTCTAACTTGTAGTTCTATGCCTTTGTTCTTTTTTTAATAAAATTTTGTTATTTATTTGGAGTTCAGCATTTTTAATATTAATTTTACTTAATTCTTTTGACTTATTTAAGAGGTTTTGAGCCTCTCTATGCATAATTTGTAATCTGAACTTTACTTCTTTAGAATAATTATCAAAATTGTATACAGGACTAATTTTATTATCTAAAATAAATTCCGGCGCTATGGGAGTAAAATTCAATTTGAGAGATTTTCCCTTTGAATACTGTATTTGGAGTAATTATTATGACAACAAGTAAAGTAGTATAGGCATTTGCTATTATTTTTGCTTCTTTGTTTATAATAACTACTGCTACTGCAAACTTCGTTAGGTCACAAACTGTAGTTACAGTGTATTGATATATAAATATAGGAAAAGGTCCTATAGTGTCAATTATAACCTTGTGGAACGGTTTTGCGGAGTTTCTGTAATTTGTAAAGGTTCTTTATTCTTGAATATTATTTTTTTTTTGACATATTTCGCAATGTTTAACAAATTTTACTACGTCTTTATACTTGCTTTTCCAATAATAATTGCTTGTTAATCTTGCATATAACCTTTTTTGTCCTGCATGACCAACGAAGTTTTTTTCGTTATGGAATTTTTGAAATAATTTTTTAATTTCATTTTTATCTATCACTGCTTTTGGTGCTTTAATTATTTCAATTTTTAAGTTTTTTAATATTTTATTGCGGGCTTTTTTAAATTCGTCGATTTTTATGAATGAAAACAAACTACCATTATCATCTATATCAATGTGATCAATATTCCAATCTTTTATGATGACCTCTAGTTTTTGAAATATTAACTCTAAAGTACAATTACTTTTATTTTCATTTGTGGCATCTTCTATTACTTTAAGACAATTTTTCCGTTTAAATATATTCATGCATATTTTATTGTTCTCTTTTGCGCATTTTATTTTGGGCCTTTTCCAATCTTTATTATTGTCATATATTTTAATATTTACAGGAATACGAAGTTCCTCAGAGATTTATCCTTATTAGGACAAATACCCTTTAGCCATCGACCTGATTTTTATTTGCATAATTTTTGCTATGTTGTCATACGCAGGTCAGAGATATTTATCTGTGATAATGCTTCTGCTGATACATTATTTTTTATGGTATTAATCCAGATCTAATCTCATTCTTATAAGTTTTCAAGGGTGAAAACAGATACGATAATAATTTATAGTCATTTCTATTATAAAATGTGTTCCATAAAGGTTTGGACGGCCATATTTTATAGCAAAGTGTGTTGCATCTAGTTCTTTTTCTATAGTTGATAAAATAGGTAATAATAAACCGTTGTACTCTTTATTTAATGCAGCGATAATAATTTGATGCGTCTACTGTAATTATGAAGTCTTTTGTAAAGTCAGTATAATCAAGGGTTGGTGGTTTTAGTAGGCAATTTTTTAGTTTTTCAAATGATTCTTGAGTTTCCTCAGTCCATTTGAAATCCATTCTTTTCCTTGTTAAATTGTTTAATGGTTTGGCTAGTTCAGCGAAATGCGGAGTAAATTTTCGATAATACTTCATAATTTTACTACTTAATACTTTATTACACCATATTTGGAATCGTCAGGATAGATTCAATGATCTATGCATTTATGTCCTAAATAAGTTACTTCTTTTCTACAAAGCTGACATTTATCTAGGTTTATCGGGATGGGGCAAATGCTTACTACTAGGGTGGTAGTGGCCGAGTGGGGCTCAAGCAAGGTGAGGATCTTGTCGGTGAGAGGAACCGCCATATCTGTGGGTCCTGGGGGGGTCCTGTCGCCATATCTGTGGGTCCTGGTTATGGAACGTTATCTTAGGCTCATGGGGACTAGTGGGTGCAGAGTTACTGCCTATGCGGATGATGTGGCAATCCTGGTCCCAGGTAAGTATCCGGAAGTACTGAGTGCAATAATCGGCGAAGTCTTGATAGACTGGATGGCTGGGCGCGGGGACGTGGTTTTTCTGTGAATCCCGCAAAAACGGAGCTGGTATTGCTCACGAGGAAAAGGAAAGTGCACGGATTTGCCCTGCCTAGGATGGTGGGGGTCGAACTGGGTTTGGTGGGTTATGCGCGATTCCTGGGTGCGATTATGTGTAGTAAGCTGCTGTGGAGGGAAAACACAGAGAATAGGGTAAGGAGCGCCACAAATGCGTTGTTTGCCTGCAAGGAGCGGCTGGTAGACGTTGGGGAGTGAGAACCTGCAACCTCGGCTGGTTTACTGGTTGCATGAGTGTGTGGTTAGGCCTATTCTGACGTATGGGGCATTGGTTTGGTGGCCAGTGGTGCTTTGGGATAAGGAGAGGAGGAAGGTGGAGAGGGTGCAACGTATAGCGTGTGTTGTGGTGACTGGTGCATTGCATACTACACCCATTTTAGCTTTGGTGGCTATTCTCGACTTCGATTCGGTGAGTGAGCAGGTAAAAGCGGTGGCTGCGAGTGCCTTGAGGCTACAAGCGATAGGCATACTTAAAAACAGGGAATACACACAACGTAGGATTCTGGGAGAATATGGAATGCGGCCTATGGACATTAGGCCTGATTTTGTGGTGCCATATACTGACTGGAGAGTTGATTACGGCACTTGGAGCACTTTGTAATATGTGCAGGGTGACTCTGTGCTGGGTTCCTGGTCACAGCGGGATACGCGGTAATGAGATGGCAGATCGTTTTGCGAGGGCTGGGGCGAGCGGAAACGCTGACATGGTGGACGGGTCGGTACGTCTGCCGCTGGGAGCGTGTCCTGACGTCATATATGGTGAGTGTAAGAGGAGGAGCAAAGTCTTGTGGGCAGAGACTTACACGTGTAGGGTGACCAAAGCAATATGGCCTATCAGGGACAAAAGGAAGACAAGGATGCTGTTGAGGTATGGTAGGGCTGATCTCAGAACACTGGTGGGGGTCCTGACGAGGGATTGCCTTTTGGGGAAAATGGCCAGGAGGCTTGGGGTCGCTTCGACGGACGTATGTCGTGGATGTCGGGATGCGGCGGATTTGGAGCATGTCCTCTGTGCCTTTCCGTTTCTGATGTGGAAGAGAAGACGTGTCTTGAGGGCTTATTTTTACGATGGCCTGGGGGAACTATCCGGGGTGTTGGCTGGTTCGGATAGGGGGTCTGGTTGGTCGGATCGCATGGGGGTTGTTGGGTGTTGGTTTTTGGGGGTTGCCGATGAGCCTTTTCTGTCGCCCTATCTCATGGGCTTCACGCGGGTGTACGGGTGGAGCCCCCCTCTCTTACTACTACTACTACTACTATCTGGGTTCAATATGTAGAAAATTACTTTTGCTACATGTTGCGAATTCCGATTCAAGATTTTTTAAATGATGTCTCTCCGAACATCCTACTATTACAATGTCGTCTATGTAGATGAAACATTGGGAGGGAGTTGCTCCAGCGAAAGCTAAAGACATCACTCTTGAGAATGAATCCAACTACTTGACCGTGAATTTGTGCTAAATGATGTAATATCTTTAGATTCTTCATCTAGTGGGATCTGGTAAAATCCCGAATATAAATCGAGTACTGAAAATAATTTAGTTCTCCCTATATTATCGAGTATATCTTCTGTATGTTGTAATGGGAATTTGTCAGCTATACATCTTTATTAACTTGCCTATAGTCCATACAAAGACACCATTTCTTTAAATTTCCTTTTTTGGGTACTAATGTAATTTGACTATTAAAATTTGATTGACTTGTCTTAATTAATTCGTTTTTTACTAAATTTTCTGTTTGTTTATTGATTTCCACCTTTTGTGTAAAAGTTAATCTAAAATTTTTTATGTATACCGGATTATTATCAGTTATTCTTAACTTTTGTTTTAAAAAATTATTAACAGTCATTTTGTCATTTTGCTTTTGAAAAATATTACTATATTCTCAAAATTATGATTTTAATTTGGAATAATAATTTTGTTCTATATTTTTCGAAATTATATTTTCAAGTTTTTTAATACGTTCCTGATTTAATTCGTTTTTATGAGTCTTATTATAGTAAAATCAGATAGCGATTGAATTTTTAAAACTATGGTAGATTTTATTGTTGTCGGCTCTGGATTAATATTCATTACCCAGATGATACTATTGTATTGTATTGGGGTTCCTTGATGATACTATTGCACAAGGAATGAAAATTACTTCAGATATTTCTTGATCTAAAATTTTACATTTTTCGTTAGAAGGCAATATGGATTTCCTGAATACTTCAAATGGAGCTGATATAGCTAATGCATCACTACTAGGTCCACCATAAATTGGAATTGTGAAAATATAAAAATCTGTTTTAATAGTTAAACTCATTTCATCATAGTCAATATTACATATATAATTTTTAAGAAATCTTTCCCTAATATACAACCTTGAGCTGGAATATCAAATTTGTTTGGTACTACGTGAAGTAGACATTTTAGAATCTAAAATTTAGATTATTACTATTAATGTATAAATTTGACCATAAGGTCTTAAAGATTTAATTGTATCCCTTGTTATTCCTTTTATATTTATGTTTTCCTCTTTATTTATTCTATGATATTTATTTATCGCTGAAATTTTAATTAGCGAAATATCTGCTTAAGTATTTACTAGTAAATTAATGTTATTTGTGTTTAAATTTGACGATATATTTATATATATATAGATAGAAAATATTTTTTGTTAATTTATTGATGGGCTCAGGTTTTCTTCTAAATTTTAATCCTCGGTGTTCTACCCTTGCCACTGAGGGTGGTTGGCGTTTGTCATATATCTAACGTTTGCGTTTCTATTAAAATTTTATCTATAATTATTTCTATTTTGGAATCTGTTATTATTATTATGTTTCAATGATCAATTATTATTGTTATTAAATTATCTGGTATTACTATTACCGAAAGAATTATTATTATTTTTTTTACCTCGATTGTTGCTATGGTAGTTATTATATTTATAAGTGTTCTTATTATTTCTGTACGCTAATATCTGCTTCTCTTTATTTTCCTCGTTTACTTCTAAAATGTATTTAGCTAATACCGATTTTATAAGGTCAGTTCAAGCCGATGCTCTACAAATATTCGCCGTTCTTTCAACAGCTAATTCTTCTGCTTTTTCCTAGTTGATTCCTTTCATAACTAAGGATCGTTTTAAACTGTCCGCTAACTCGTCAGTCTGTTTTGAAAATTCAGATAAGGTTACTCAATCTGTTCTTAATGCTTGCATTTTCCCTTCTATAGTTTTAGAGTTATCTGCCTTTATTTTGCATTTTATAGTTTGAATTATATCGCTTACCCTCAAGTTTTAACAATATTAATATTTTTAAAAAGTTTCTCAAGGGGTCACTCGTTGCAGTAGCTGTTAATAGGTTAATTGAATCTATAAACGATTAGAGTGCTAAAGGATCTTCTGAATAGTTTTTATCGTTAAGTCAATTAATTATAACGTTATGATTGTAATTAATCGTTGAAGCAGTCAGTCTTAGGAATTCCATATTAGTTGGTTCAGCCATTTTAATAGATAATTCAGTACGTTCGTTAAGAATAATTGAATTAAGGTTAATTTTACTGAAAATATTCCTTGAAAATTTGATTTCAGTGTTAAAGATATTATGTACTTTTGTCAGTCTTTCCCTAACATAAGTAATATGGGAATTTGATGTAATTTTATCTTTGGCATTCACCCTTGGCCATAGAACATAAATTTCTCCTATATATTCGTTATTAGAGCATATTATTCTATTCTTCTTTGTTTCTAATATGGGGAGGATTGTTGTACTGATCTTCTTTCATTTAATACTATTTATAGATATATTTTTACCTTACCCAGCCTGAAGAAGCCTGAAATTTCAGGGGCTTTTAGACGACACTAATAAATGCTTCATTTCGTTAGAAGAAATTTTTTTTCCATCTCCACCCCTTCTCAAGTTATCGTCTCTTGAAATTTGTAAAATTTTAATTTTTGACACCTTATATTTCCGAAATCGCTAGTTTTTGAAATTTCTATAAACGCATAATTTCTGTAATTTCTGTAAATTCCATGACATTAAAAAATATAATTATTTTCCTTAATTCACACAATTAATCTTTAAAATCGAGAATTATGTTAACCCCTCTCTAAATTTATTTTTGCTTTATATCAAAGACTGCATAAATCGTTCATTCTAAATATATTCAATCCCAGAAAAAGTTTCGTTTATGAATGAAAAAAATTTAAATGGTGTGGTGGATATACATAGACTGTATTTAAAAGCAGAATTTTCACTTGCTGAAGGGAAAAGTGCTACAATACAAACCATTGGTTTGAGCCAACTTTATTTTTGGATTTAAATTTATGACGGTTTATTTAGATTTGTGTAATACAATTAGAAATTGAAGATGTTCTTGAAACTAAATAAATTATATGTGAAGGTTAAAATGATATTAAGAAATTTTTAAGAGATAATATTGAAATGTTTTAGAATAATATTAAGTGTATTACAATAACAAAATTTTGCAAGAATTTATTGACAAAATTTATTATTTTATAATAACAAAATTTTCATTATTTTATAATAACAAAACACGAGCAAGGTGTAAAAGGATTATACTTAATATAACAAATTGAACTAAAATTGCATACGAATAAATCGTACGAATTAGTTTTCGAATGAGGGTGTCAATAGTTGTACCATTAAGCCATGTTAATATTGACACCCTAATTGTACTTTTTTGTATTCACGCAAACAAATATAATTTATAATACTTTATTTACATTTGATAAATTTTAGTATATGATTATGTAAGAGGAATATTTAATTTATATTTTGCTCAAATTTTTATTTTATCACAATGCTCAAATTTTTATTATTATGTATAAAATAGTTTTATGAGAAATACCGCTTAAGAATGGCAATAATTGCACCCGGTACGCTATTTATATAAAAATTGCATCAAATTAATTATTTCCCACAGAAGTAAAAATTGCTCACTAGAATTTTATGCGTTTATGAAATTCATACTTTTCCCATGTTAATTTTCGTATTATATCCGTTTCAATTTTGCTCAAGTTAAATTAACAAACAAAAAGGGGGTTAATACTTAATAATAACAAATTACAATTTTAGCATTTTTGGTGATATAAATAAATGGGAATATAATAATAAAAATATAGAATTCAGAATAATTGCTGTTACACAATACATATTCTTTAAAACATTCATTAAGGATATTTCAGAAATATATTTAACAATTATTTATACAGAAATATATTTCCTAAAACAAAAGAGAAATTTGAGGAAACACAAAGACAAAAACAACAAATTATTAAAATTAAATTATTATGTTTTTAGAATATCTTTGCAGCAAATTTAAAAAAGAAGCTACTTATAATGTTTACATAATGTATGTGCAATGTTTTTTTATCGTCACTTATTATGCTTCTAAATATCACATAAACTATATACACAATAGTAATACGTAAAGAATATTCAGGGAGATCTCATAAGATGACAAATATTTCCAGGGATGATTCTAACAAAAAATTTTAAGGGGATATATTCATTAAAAATTATAAGGGAGCTATAGCCCGTTGAATAAAATATGTTTCCGAAGTTATAAGCATAAAAATGCTTGTAACCGAAGTTATAAGCATATAAATGCTCGTATACGAACTTGTAAGCATATAAATGCTTATAAATTCAGGACCATGCACATAGACTAAGCGTCGGGTACTGGTTTTCTCAGAAATTGATTGTATATTTTTTTTCGGTCTTACAATCAATTTGATTTGAACCATATTTTCGAGACAAAGCTCGTCAAAACTAAATTTTTAATTTAATTTTATTTTAAAAACTCGAAATTTTATTGAAAATTTGTATTACAATTTTTTTTTCTTTTCGGTGCGCTATGAGATGTGGAAACTTTTGAACTCTAATAACCTAGCTCTCAGATGACCTACTGAGCTGGAAACGAGCTTGTTGGAAAGAACTTGATGACAGCTTCAATAAATCCTCAAACAACTTCGTGGGATTAAATAGCCCTTCAAGTCTCTTTTCTAAAAAAAAAAAAAAACTGCCAAAATTTAGTCATGCAGGATACTGTTGAAGAGGTGTTGGCATGCCCTACAAATTTTGTTCGATTCTGTTAGGGTCCAGGACCCATAAAGGTATTAAGAACGAAAATTAAAGATCCTTAATATGGTCAAAAGGAAAATCGTTGAAAAGGTCTAGGCGTACTCTAAATAACCGCTTTAAAATCGATCTTGTTAAAGTTCAAGCACCGAAATAAATCCTAAGAAGGTGAAAATTGAGGGTTTGTAAATATGGTCGAGTGGGATGGTGCTGCAAAAATTATACTCTAAAAAGTTTTTCGAGGAGGCCTCTGAAAATCGATCCCGTTTGAATCCAAGTCCCATACTGGTTCCTAAGAAGGCAAAAATTAAGTTTTCATAATTATGGTCAAGTACTGTTAAAAAGGTCTCGGCATTTTATCTATACAGAAAATGATAGATTGGATACAGGAAATGAAGCCATGAAAATTTTTAAATTTGGCGTTCTAGATGTATGTCGAAGTCATGACATTGGGATGAAATTTATGTGAAAAAGATTTCGAAAGAGACGAATTTTTCAAGCGAATTTTTGAATTCGGCCTTCGGGTAGAGTGTTTGAACTACCCCCTTCGAAGTTGCTTTGAAAAGACTCTAAGCCCTAGCCAAGAATATATATCTGGTTCGCCTAGTTGGTTCACTTTTTCATTTCACTTTGAATTCACTTTGAATTCAACTATCGTGTCATGAACATCAGTTGTTGCTTCATAGATTTTACATCTTATTGATTGTATATTTTACAGAATATTCTTTTATGAAAAAAAAATTTCGATTGTAAAAAAAGGCTTTTATGTAAAACGGAAATTTTTATTTAAAATTTTATTTTATAAAATTTACAACAATAGTAATAACTAGTATTTTAATTAAATTAAATTTAATTTACAAAGTTGCAATGAAAAATTCAAATATTTTTATTGAAAAAAATCAAAAATAAAATTAAAAATATTTATTATAATAATAGCCCAATTTTATATGTTAGTTTGTTTGTCGGTAGGTCACACTTTTGATGAAACTTTTGAAAGGCTTTAACATAAAAACGGCTTAACGTAGAACGCTTGGTTTGAACCTTTTGACACAACTCTAAAGTCACTCACAGTTTAAGTGGTTTTCGAGTGACATTTTTGAGAAATGTTTTGAGTGTTTTTTTATGGGATTTTTTGAAGTGATACTTTTGAGATTTTTTTGAAAGATTTTTTTAATTGATTTTTTTCAAAAATTTTTTATTGCCTTTTTTAAGGGATTTTTTGAAGAAATTTTTTAAGTGACTTTTTGAGTAACTTTTTAAAGCGACTTTTTGAGTGACTTTCAAGAGATTTTTTAAAAGATTTTTCCAAGCGATTTTCTTGATATTGCTTTTTCAATGATATTTTGAGTAATTTTTTTGAGTGATTTTCGTGATGTTGATTATTCGGTAATTGTTCTAATAAAAATTTTGTTTTTTTTACTCTTCTGTCAAAAAAAAAATTAATAAAAAAAAAAATATAAGAACCTAGTTTCATAATACAACCCAAATATTATTTTTCTTTTTTTGGGTTACTGACCATCAATTTTTTACCGTTGCTTTAAACGGCTTCTGAAAAAAATAATCAAGGCAACTTCCTCACAAAGGTTTGTACTCTCAAATTGAAAACACAGTGGTGATTTACAAATCAAAACAAATCCAAGGCTGTAACTTCAAAATCTACCTATATTATAATTAGCAATATCTCGGTGTGACAGTATCACAATATACAAAAAAACACTCAAAAATTTGTGTTTTCCTTAAAATCAATATGTTATTTTAAGACATACTTAAAAAATTTATTTTCATCAAAAAACTCAAAAAAATAACTGGAACAATTTTGTTTAAAATTCCTGATTCACTGATGATGTTTCCATTCATGACGTTATCATTAAAAAAACCACTCAAAAAAATATTCAAAAAGAAACTAAGTACCCAAAAATTTTTTTTCCGCAATACCGTCCCGACAAACAACTACATCCAAACCGACCACCAAAGAAACTATTAAAAACTCAAAAAAGCCTTTGATGATTTCACTCAAAATTGTTATTGTAGCTAAAAAGTCGCATCATTAAAAAATCTTTCAAAAATCATTAAAAAAATAGTTATAAAACATACTCAAAAAAATGGCACTACAGTAGCGTTTCCATTGAACATTGAGCAGAGGGAAGTTTGTAAAAATATTTTTAAAACTTTTATAAAAAAGTTCTAAAAATATTTTTACAAACTTTATAATTATGGAATCAGTGAAATTATTTGACTGAACAGCTCAGCTTAAAATCTTTAATAAATTTGTTGAAAAAAATCGTTGAATTGAATAAAGAACAAAAAATATTTATTCATACAACTTTAAAAGTAAAACATTGAACATAAGAAAACAATGACTTATTTTGAAAAGATGAAAGAGTAAATCAAAAAATTGGAAAAAGTAAAAGATCTGATGTCATAAATCAATGTTTATTAGCGACGCTGAACCAACTGAGCTTGAAACACGGAGAGAAAAACGAAGGATTTTTTAAAACGATGGGAGCAAGTGTAAAGAATTAAAAGAAAATGAAAAAAACAAGCAAAAATGTGAACTGAAAATTTGGAATAAAAAAAAAAAATCTGATGTGATCAGCACATAACCGACCGCATTGTGCATTGTCTAGTTAAGTGAAAGTGTTACAGAATATTATAAAAATGCCTGTTAATTACCTCTTTCCAATTTTTAGGACATTAATAAGCTTATAGTTAACATACCTAGAAAAATGTAAATTTGGCTCTTAGTAGAGTTTCGCTTTGTGCCACCCGAATTCCCTGAAATGCTTGTCAGTTAGTTTCGGTAACAGCCAGAACTCAAATATCAAATTTCAAGAAATTCTATCAATTAGTTCCGTAGATATAGTGAAAAATCTAAAATCGGCCCGCAGATCAGTTTTCGAGCCCTGATCTTTCCAAAAAATTTATATGTTCGTTGTTTTAATACGAAGAACCTAAATATTAAATTTCAATGAAATCGGTTGATTATTTCTCTTTATATACGCAAAAATGTATATTTGGCCCGTAGTAAACGTCCAGCTGCTGACACCTGATTTCTTCCAAAAGTTAAGAGGTTTTGCGGCCGGTCGAGCGAAGCTTATATATGAAGTTTCAAGAAATTCGGTTGAATAGTTTTTTTAAAATGATCAAAAATGTAAAACAGGTCCGCTAAAAAGTGCAGTTCCCGAGTCCTGATATATCCCAAAAGTTGATCGATCCGTGCCATGGTGGAAATAAACTTACATATAAAATTTCATAAAAATCGGTTCAGTAGAACTTGAGATACACGCGTGCACACACAGACCGACAGACGGACAGACCGACAGACCGACAGACCGACAGATCGACAGACCGACAGGTTGCTAAAAATAGTTTATTTACACTTCCCTACTATGGAGAAGTACGTTCCCACCGAAAACTCGATATGCAAAATTTGTTGCCATCACATAACCTACCTATTGTATACACAATACGGTCGGTAAAAATTTAATAATGGTTGAGTTTTGTTAATAAATTTAAGTATAAACAATAGGTAGGTTATGTGATGGCAACAAATTTTGCATATCGAGTTTTCGGTGGGAACGTACTTCTCCATAGTAGGGAAGTGTAAATAAACTATTTTTAGCAACCCGTCGGTCTGTCGGTCTGTCGGTCTGTCCGTCTGTCGGTCTGTCGGTCTGTGTGTGCACGCGTGTATCTCAAGTTCGGCTGAACCGATTTTGATGAAATTGAATATGTAAGTTTATTTCGACCGTGGCACGGATTGATCAACTTTTGGGATATATCAGGTCTCGGCAACTGCAGTTTTTAGCGGGCCTGTTTTACATTTTTGACCATTTTGAAGAAAATATTCTACCGCTTTACTTCAAATTTCATATATAAGCTTTGCTCGACCGTACGCAAAAGTCCTAGCTTTTGGAAGAAATCAGGCATCAGAAACTGGAAGTTTACTATGGGCCAAATATACATTTTTGTGTATATAAAGAGAAATAATCAACCGATTTCATTGAAATTTAACATTTGAATTCCTCGTATTAAAACAATGAACATGAAAATTTTTTGGAAAGATCGGGGCTCGAAAACGGATTTGCGGGCCGATTTTACATTTTTCACCATTTTGAAGAAAATATTCTACCGCTTTACTTCAAATTTCATATATAAGCTTTGCTCGATCATACGCAAAAATTACGAACTTTTGGAAGAAATCAGGCATCAGCAACTGGGCGTTTACTACGGGCCAAATATACATTTTTGTGTATATAAAGAGAAATAATCAACCGATTTCATTGAAATTTAGTATATGAATTCCTCATATTAAAGCAACGAACATATAACTTTTTTGGAAAGATCAGGGCTCGAAAACTGATTTGCGGGCCGATTTTACATTTTTCACCATATCCATAGAACAAATTGATGGAATTTCTTGAAATTTGATATTTGAGTTCTGGTTGTTACCCAAACTAACTGGCGAGCGTTTCAGGGAATTCGGGTAGCACAAAGCGAAACTCTACTAAGAGCCAAATTTACATTTTTTAAGTATGTTAACTATAAGCTTACTAATATCCTAAAAATTGGAAAGAAGTCTTTAACAGACATTTTTATAATATTCTGTAACACTTTCATTTAACTAGACAATACACAATGCGGTCGGTTATGTGCTGACCACATCAGATTTTTTTACTTCCTTAGCTTACATTACATTATAATATAAAATGCACGTTTTTAAAAATAAATAAAATTTGTAATTTATGTAACTAATAACTTTTTTTAAAACTATACATCTACAATTAAAAGAACTGTCAATATTTATTCATAGAGGAATTTTCTGATTTAGCTCCATAATACTACAACGACCCCACAAAATAGTTTCATAACTAGTAGTTTCTCATCATAAAAAGATATTTTTTTTTTTGTACTGTGGAATTTTCATTAGGTTTTTTATTTATTTATTTATTTTTTTATTTATTTATTATTGTTTTAATTTCAGACATTTTGTATAAAATTGTGTATAAGAAATTACAGATTTACAAACTAATCTTAAAAACTAATCTTTTTAAACACAAAATTATTGTTTTACAATACATATTATCTTTTTTTTCTTTTTTCTTTTTTGTTTTATTACAAATCCATTAATTTCTAAAATTTTTTAAATATTCTTTAAGCAAGCGTTTAAATTCATTTAATTTATTACTGTTTTTTATTTCATCTGGTAAGGTGTTGTATATTTTATTGCACTGCACTTTAAACCATTTATTTTCATAGTTGACATTGCTCTAGGTACCATTAGATGCCCTCTGTTCTTGGTGTTATAATTATGCACGGTCCCTCTTGTAGTAATTGATAACGAAGATTTCATCTTCTTGTTTACTATTTTGAACACATATTTGCACTTCTCGAAGTATATAAGTTGGTTTATATCTAGTTCATTTGTTCTTATGTATAATTCCCTTGTTCTCAATCTCGGTTTCAAATTATACAACATTTTTAACGTTTTATTCATAACAATACCCATTTGATTGACATGGAATTTTGTACAATGACTCCAACTGCATATGTTGTAACGAATTTTTGACAATATGTGCCCATTATATATCAGTTTTGCTGCTTTCTTGGGGACACCCCCTGCTCTTTTAATAGCAATAGTGATAGGTATAATGCTTTTTTTTAACTGTTTGATATGTTTGTCGCATTTCAAATGTTCATCTATGCAGATGCCAAGATATTTTACATGTTCCACTCTCTTTATTACGGCATTCCCCACTTTTATTTGAATTTCATGGTACTTTTTTTTAGGTTTTTTAAATACCATTTAAACGGTTTTTGGGAATTTATGCAGAGATCATTTCCTTCAAGCCAATCGTTGTAAATTTTAATATCTTTATTCAGAATGTTTTCCAATTCATTTAAGGTTTTAGCTTTTGCTATTAAGTTTGAGTCATCTGCATATATTGTGTATTTTGATTCTATATTACAAATGGAGAGGTTCGTAAAATATAATATGTATAAAAGTGGTCCTAACAAAGATCCTTGATGTACTCCGGTATTTATAATTAGTTCAGTACTTTCCGTGTTGTTTATTCGTACACAATGAACTATTTGATAAGTATCTCCTAAATAAGCTATTTGCTGTGCCTCGTATACCCAAATCTTCAAGAAAATCTAGTAGCTTGATGTGATTTACTACATCGAACGCTTTGCTTAGATCAATAAATACTCCTGCAACATAGCACCCTTCGTCCAGAGCATCATAAATATGATCTAATGTTACCGATACAGCAGAATCAATACCACTTTCTTCAATGAAACCATATTGATTTGTGTCAAAGCCAATTGTAGATTCCACAAAACTTCGAATTCGTTTATTTATAGCTTTCTCATATATTTTACTAACTGAATTAAGAAGTGATATTGGCCTGTAATTACCGCAGTCTGTTTTTGTTCCACCTTTGTGAATCGGTACAATTAGTGCCTTTGTAAGCACTCTGGATAAACCCCATTAGTGAAACATGAATTTACCATATTACATAAGGGCTTCTTTATAACATGTATTAGTTGCTGAATATCGTTAACTGTCATTCCATCCTCCCCTGGAGCAGCATTCTTATTAAGATTCAGAGCAATCTCGACAATTTCATTTTCTGTAACTGGTATCAAGAATACTGATTTTTGATTTGTTACATTTCTTAGTGTATTTTGCACGATGTTAGAACTATTTTCATTTATAATCTTTTCTCCAATTTCATTAAAGTATTTGTTTAAGAAATTAGCAGTTTCGAAATCCGTTGTTGTAACATCACCGTTCGGTTTAAGTAAATTGCAGATGCCGTCGTCTTTTTCATCATCTTTATTTTTTATTGTATAATTTATCACCTTCCACAGTTTTCAATTATCATTTCCAGCTTTTTCGATGCGATCATTAATATGTTTTCTCTTTGCTTGAGTAATAAGTTTTTTTAAATTCTTTTTCATTTTTAGATACTTATCCTTTTTTGCTGTATTATTGGGATCCTTTTTATGTGCTTCATATAAAGAGCGCCTAATTTTTAATTTACTGATAATACTAGGTGTAATCCATGTATTACTTCTTGACCTTATTGTGTATGTTGTAGTACTATTTTCTTTTGGCTTTTGTATGACATGAATTAAATCTTCAACTTCTGTAATACTTCTCTCTGCTAACTCATTGCTGACATCTTCATACATTTTAACATAATCTATTCTACTACGTGCGAGGTTTGGGAAAGGTTTTAATTCATGTTTTATTAATTCTACGCTTACGAAAGTAGTTTTATGATCAGATATATCGTTATCTTCGATTTTATAGGTAATTTTGTGCTGATCATCTATATTTGATACAATATGATCAATTAATGTGCTAGTAGACGCGGTTTGCCTTGTGCTGTGTGTTTTGTTTATGAATTTATAACCAGAGATATTTACCATGTCTATATATTTGGTTACTGTGTTTGTTTTGTCCAAAATATTTACATTTACATCAGCAAAGAAGATACATTGTGATAGCTGATCTATTCTTGTTTCTAAGTACTCAATAAATAGTGCATTATTTTCACAAGGTGCTTTGTAAAAGGTACCAATTTTAACTTTAGGCTGTGTGTTTATGATTTCAATTACAGTAAAATTATACATTTCATTTTTTTCAATTTCATTGTAGTTTAATTTGTTACTCACAAAAATTGCTGTACCACCACCTCTCTTTTCATTTCTGCAGTTATAAAGAGATTTAAAGTTTTGTATATTGTAGACGTCAACTTCATTTTCAAAAATCCATACTTCCGTAAGAATGACAATATCCACATTTTCATAACTCTGTACTAACGCTTCAAGCTCCAAAATCTTATGTCTAATGCTGCATATGTTTAGGTATAAAATATTTAAATTACCTATTTGATTAATATTATTGTATGTCGTCATTATGGTATCATTCGTACTTTCTGGAGGTAATCTCTGTATTTGTTATCTATATGGCGTCTATACATTTTTAGATCTTTTATAACTGTTTCCTGCTTGACTCCTACTGTTTCATGATATTTATAGTATATTTTACATAGTTCTTTTGGATCCGTGGGTAAGCCTTCTTGATCGATTAGCACTTTAATGCTAGTTTGAGTCATACTATCATAGCAGATATCATCTTGATCATAGAAGTAAGGAAAATTCTTACATTGTTGTTTATTCTATGATCTCTAAGCCGGGTTAATAGATATATCTTATCATCACTTTCAATTGCTTTTTTCGTAAGTTTTACGATGGGAGGTGCCATTGGATCGACAACTAGAATTAACTATTTTGTTATTTTGTTTTTCTGGAGTTTTATTAAAATTTTTCTGTATATGTTTCTCCTTTAATCCAGTTACTGTACTTGCAATTATTTTTGCCGTTATTACTATTATTAGTATTATTATTATTATTATAATCATTATTGTTAGTGTTGTTAATATTACTTTTATTATCATAATTATTGTTATTATTGTTGTTATCATTATTTTGAATGCTACCATTATTCTTATTGTTGTTGCTATTATTTGAATTACTGTTAATGCTTCTGTTATGATTATTAGTTTTATTTGAAAAATTATTGTTGTTATTGTTGTGGTCATCATTTTGAATACTGTCACTATCCTTATTGTTGTTGTTATTATTGAAATTACTAGAATCAGTGTTGTGTGTAGAAGAATATTTGCGCATTTTGAAAATTTTAGAGAAGAATTTATTTACCCTTTTTCCATTAATTTTGGTTAATGGTTTTACTTCACGTTTCACAGCTCTTTACTTTGGAATTTCTGTAGTACAACACGCTACTGGTTTTACGCTCGTTTCATCATTAATGTTACTTATATTATTAGTATTAGTATTATCTTTTGAACTTTCTACAATGCCATTAATTATTTTCTTATTGGTAGTAAAGTTTTTTTTATTAATATTTATGACGTTTGTAATATTACAATTTTTGCCCACGTTAAAACCTGTATCATATGTCACGTCTTCATTTTTTTTAGTTCCATCAAAGATCTGTAATTGCTAATACCATATTTTTTGCTTTTTCACATTTATTTTCTTTAAATAGACTGGACACTCATAATAATATTAATCATGATACATAAATGTATCATGATTAATATCAAAACCCAATTTTAATTTTTCATTCACTTTGACACAGTTAATGCACTTATTAGTTTTTTCTTTTTTACATTCTTCACTTTTGTGATTTTGAAGACAATTCAAACAAGTTTCTTTATTTTTACACTCAGCAGCTCTATGTTTAAATCATTTTCATTTGAAACAGCGAAGTAATCTAATTGCATCAAAGACTTTGCATCTTTCCCATCCAATTGATACTTTTTCATTCGCTATTGCTTTAGGAAAGGTTTCCTTATCAATTTCTATAACAGCATTAAATTTTTCGTTTCCCAGTTTTTTCGCTCCAAAAACTTTTAATACTTTTAACTTGCTGAACTCTAAATGTTGGTTTTGGCTTTTCAATTTGTTTATCAATTCTTCCTCTGTGTATTTAACGCTCATGTGTACTACTTCAATTTTTGGTTTTATATCTAGTGGAATTTTTATCTCATATGAGTCCTCTAATTTTGTTTGAATAGCACTTTTAATTTTTTCTCTTTCCTCATTATTTGCTGCTTCAACCAAAACAGTACCATTTTTTCTGTTTTCAATATTTAGAATTTTTAAATTTTTTGGATCTACCTTCTTATTTAAATCTAATCTAGTTTTCTCACATTTCTGTTTATTTTTAGGTTTAATAACCAACGGTACTTGTTTTTTCATTGCAAGTTGAATATTTTTGCTTACGTTTGCACCATGCTTTAAAACGTTTGAAAATTACATGCATTCACCTACATTAATTTCATTCACATTTATTTATTTTAACTCGGTACATAATTCATAATTTTTTACTATTGTTTTTTTTTATGCCAGCATTCAGTTCCTCGCTCTCCGTTTTGAACATTTCTGTGAATTTTGCAGTTTTTTCCATTTCCTTTTGTTGGCTTTTTTTCATTTGTTCCAATCTGTTCATATAGCTGCTCTCTATTGTTTTGAGGAGCTGCATTATTTCCAATTTGGTTTTTTTCAACGCATCTTCAAATTCCATTTTGTATTCTTTCAAATATGAACAATTTTTATCAACCGTTCTTTGCATATTTTGTAACACCAAATCCACATTTTGAATGTATTGTACACAGTCATCACAGATGAATTTCACTCTTTTATTTGTGTCCAGAACATTGCTCAGGTATTGATCCAAACCGGAACATTTCAAAGTTGAATGGTACACTTTGCCGCACACTCCAGCACATCTTATGCCCGTTTCACCTTTGATTTTTGTATTACATTTTGTGCAATCCTCTGCCATGTCTATAGTTGTTTGTAACAACCATATTTTTTTTTGTTTTACTCAAATTATATTACGAAATTTGAGAATCAGAATTTAAAATTAAATTTTTTTCTGTAAATTAATTAAACAACCTTTCGGTATGAAGTATGAATAAAGAATCAAATATAATATAGAAAAACTATACTATTAATTAAATAGTCTGAACAATCTTGAAATGTTATTCGATATTTTATACAACCCCAGTATTTGTGGGAACGTGTTAGAACGGGTTGGATCTAATCCATATGTTTGATAAATATTTAAACAAAATTGTTTAAGTAAAATATCTTAAAATAAATCTTAATCTTTATAATCTTAATCTTTATATCTTAAAATAAATGTACAAAAGTACATTTATTTTGAGATATAAATAGATTTTTTGCCAATATTTATAATCATCCTCACTTATGTCAGAATGGTTTAATTTGTTGCCAAATTTATCGATTGAAGGCAGTTAATTTTCTGAAAATATTTTGAAATTTTTAAAGTAGTCGTAAGGGCAGACACTTTTTCTCCTACATAAGTTAATTTTAAAGTACCACATGTGGGCACTTAATTTTAATTGCGTCGTTATATAAAAAATTTCAGTTACAGTCTTTATCTTATGAACCTCTTTATTTACCCGTTAGATGATAGTAGTTCTTAATTTTTTGATCATTGTCATTAAATTTATTTAAACGGAAATGGCAGAATTTCACCGATTTAAAATTTTTGATCCGTTCTTTTATTAATTTATAGATACGCAAAGAACGAAGAAATACTGTTTCAATATTTTCAACTAATTTTTTAAGTTCTTTAAACCAAATGTTAGAATCATGCACTTAAAATTTTAACGAAAACTATTTATTTTTTTTAATATGGATTCTAGCTTATATTATATAGGAAAAGTAAGATTTTGGACTGCCCATCCTGAAACCTGAGGGATTTCCCCGAACAATCAGAGTAGAAAGTGACTGCCTTTATTGATGGTCTTCGCAGAAGAGTTATCGCTCAGTATTCGGAGAACCTTCGCCTTTCCGTCCTACCTCTGCCTCATAAACTTCCAAACCTAGGTGTGAATTCCCCTGTTTTTTATGTGGAAAATCATCAGCTTTTTTCCCAATTTTTGGCCCCGTTTCTGGAGACGAAGACGGCTTGGGAATGCCATCTCTCTTTCTTGCTACTAGTTCCGGCCCGGTTTTTGTGCCTAGAGCTGGCATCTGCTTGATCATCTACTCCACTGTCTCTTCATCTACATAATCGACGAGTACCATTTTGGGCTTGGTTTGTAATCCTTCAAGTGAATGGTGTTGTGCTAGCCCGGGGTACCTCGTCGATTATCGCCTCTTCCTGCTGGGTCAGCATTATGTAGGGGTATTCCCTCAACATAACCACCCCGCACTTTATCAAAGCTGATTTTCTTCTAATTAAGACAACAAACAATAAAAATTAAAATCTAATAAAATTAGAAATATTACCCCTGACTTAATCTAATTATCTACCTGACTTAATCTAAAATTTAATTATTTATTTATTTTTTTTTTCTTATAAATTACAAACTATAATTTTTTTTTTTTTTAATTATTTATTTCAAAGTATAATGTCTTAGGAGAATTTTAAATCTCATTACAGACTATATAAAGTTTATAATATTAGAATTCTAAAATATAACAAAATTGTAAAACATGTGTATATAAGTATAATAAAGTTGTAAAATATTGAGATTAGTAACAGAAACAAAAAATTACAGTTAATAAAACCTAACTCAAATATTTAAAAAAAAATAATAATATATTGATAAAAATTTTGCAAGAAAAAGACACAAAATTTTATGAAGAATGAAAAAATTGAAGAGAAAAAAGAAAGAAAAAAAAATCTAAATAAGAAACTTTTTTTTAATAACACAAATATCCTATAATCTATATTGTTGATCACTGTAATTACTAATGAATGATTCCATTAATATCTTTTTCAATTTAGATGTGCTTTCGAATTTCAAATCGCTATCCAGTTTGTTGTTCAATGTGGTACCTAAATATAACGTTGTTTCAGAGCCAAATTGCGAAGTTCTTATTTTATTGGTATGCAGTATATTTTTATTTCTCGTGTTAATATTGTGAATATTTTTCCTCTGTGTTACCTCAGATGTTGTATGAATGTTATCATTAGCAATATCATGTATATGGAGAATTAATTTTAAGTCAATAAAATCCTTAATAAGTAGGAAACAATTTTGTCTGTGTATGAACTCAGTTCTTTCCCTCCAATTATAATTAAATAAATTTTTGATTGCTCTATTTTGAACTACTTGCAATTCTTCTTTTACCCTTTTTGGCTTTTTCCCCATAACTTAAGGTCGTAACTGAGATGGCTGTGAAATGAAGCATAATATACTGATCTCTTCACATTATCAGGTAAGTAATTTGAAACTTTATAAAATACTCCTGCAATCGATGATAATTTCTTTTTTAATTCATCTATTTGTATATTCCATTTCAAATTGTCATCAATCTACAGCCCAGATACTTGTATTTCGGAACTTTTTCTAATGTGATATTAGATAAATTTATGTTTAACGCAGGTGTATTTTTGCCAATCAACATAAAATTACTTTTATTAGCATTAATAGTGAGCGTATGTAGTCGCATCCATTCTTCAATCTTCTTAATCTCCCTACTTATTTTAATTTGCAGTAATTAATAGTTAATATCCTCAAAAACTAAGCATATATCATCAGCGAATAGGTACATTTCAGCTTCTATATTACACTTATGCAGGTTGTAAATTAAGAAAAAAAGTGGTCCAAGCATGCTACCCTGAAATACACCGTATTTAATTTTAATTTCACTGCTTTTCTTGTCATTGATTTGAACAAACTGTGAACGATTACTCAGATAGGATTGAAACCATTTATACGCTAATCCTCTAATACCCAGACTGTACAATTGTTTTAATAATATTGAATGATCAACAGTATCAAAAGCCTTTGATAAGTCTATAAATATTAAAGACACCATCTTTTTGCTTTCTTTGAGCTTTTGAACACAAGAAACCATATCAATAATACCAGTTTCAGTGCTAGACCTTGCTCTAAAACCATATTTTCTGTTGCTAAGTGCCCTGTTCTTCACCAGAAATGATAGTACTTGCTGATAAATTACTTTTTTAACTATTTTAGCCAAGATGGGTTCAAGACATATTGGCCTGTAATTATTGAAATTGGTTTTATCTCCATTTTTGTAAATTGGAATAACTTTTCCAACCTTAAGAGAGACTGGGACAACGCTTTCAGATATAGATTTATTAACTATAGTTGAGA